CCCCAAAACCCCAAAACCCCAAAACCCCATAAATGAAAATAAACAATAAGGTGAAAATTAAATTATTAATATATTGCTTTATCCTGTCTGCGATCATTGATTAATTCATGCGATTCTATCATTATTGGGTCTTTCCAAAACTTTACTCTAGATCAGACCTAGCTCTAACATCTCTGGTCACAGTTTCAGTGGTGACTACTCTAACTTATTAAGTAACCACCTGACTGGAAGTGTCCTGGCGCATTCTCATGATTTGCTCCAGTATGTTATTTCCATCATAGGAGGGCATCTTCATACCCTTGTAGTAGTCTTGCAGAGTACTGTGGCTCATCTTAAGTGCCTCCATACTGATTGCTGAGACTCCTCTAAGGTAAGCCTAATCGCACTGTGATTTGAGTATTGCCTTCTTTCTCAACTCGATTCTGTACTACTCTTCTAACTCTCTAATCATAGCCTCTAAGAAGTCTTTTTCATTTTTCCTCTCTTCCACTAAATGAGTGATAGTTAAGTCTATTCTGTCCTTGACCCTCTTCTCATACTATCGGTTTCCTGCAACCTAGGCGAAAAGCTTAAAGGCCTTGAAGCCTCTTGCCTTGATACCCTGCTGATAGAAGAACTCACAATAGTCTGATTGATTGTTGTCCTTCTTTTTTTTCTGGAAGTAAGTCCTCCAGCACTCAAAGGCTCTTCTGCGTTTACGAATTTATTCCCACTACGAGATTGATCTTAACAGAAGGTGCTTGCTTTTTTTCAACTATGAATACTTAACTCTGGGAGAATACTAACCTTATCGACTTCATGAGCTTCTTTTTATTCTAATTGCACATACTATTTATTTAGCTTCTCAAGTGATAAGAACTCATCTTGCTTCATCTCATCTATCTAAATTTTACATTAGTATTTATGACTGCTTATTATTCATATTTATGGTATTATGTCAGTTATCATTGAAGTACTTACTCTATGGTTTAGCTCAGCAGTATCCTTAAGCTTGAAAGTGTGCACTTTCTTCATTATAGTCTCCTTAAAGTCTACATTAGCTGCCTCAACATGCTAGGCAAATTCCGAGACTCTTTGCTCGGAGGTAGACACTTCCACAAATTATTGCTTTACTATGGTAGTTGATGTATTTATCACAACCTAAGAGTTTTTCTCATGACCTGATATTACTGATGACTGTAAGCCTCCAACAATATGATGAGCTTGTGAAGGATAAGTATGCTAAGCGTATATTTGCTGTTTTATAGATGGACTTATTTCTGTCATTTTACTTTTCTTAAAAATCAATTTTTAAATTTATTATAACGATTTAAATTTGTTTAAATTTCTAATCCATATTCTATTCTTAGATATGGGGTTTTGGGG